CAAGAAATATGCAATCTCTAACTTCGAAATTATAGGACCTAAAAACTTAATCATTTGAAATAACTTTACAGATGAATGTATCTTGTGTGGAGCACTGAAAGGTGAACTTGCACACAAGGATGACTGCAAGACTAAAGTGTGTAAAACCATTTGAAAGAATCGCTTTTGAGCATTCTTGGACATTATCACAAATACATAGTGGCAACAACAAACAAACAAAAAAAAAAAAAAAAAAGCTTAGTTGCCATAGATTATTTTAGTAAGTAGTTGCGAAATTAGAATTAAGTTTTTCGTTTTCTAGTGATTCTTGTTATTTACTTGGATGAAAGGTCAAATTCCATTTCTGTTCTTTTTTAAAGTACTGTGCAGAAACTTTCATTGGTCAGGTAGTATGAAAGATAGGTTTAATCGAATGATCTTGTATCACCTCTCATTACTCTTTTTGCAAGTATAAGGGTTCACCAGTTCATAATTTAGACCAGAGTTTCTTAAACTGTGGATCGCCAAAATTTTAGCAGTTTTGATATTTTTTATTATATTTTAATAATTTTACCAAATATTTTTACACAATTTATTTGAATATAGATAATACAGACAAAGAAAAAATGAAAATGTTTCAACACATTCTTTTCATAATACAAATGTTCATTTTGCTTGCTTTGCATGTGACACTGTCATTTTGAATGTTACTTATTTAAAATTTTTACACTGTTCTATGGTCTTAAAATTAGAAATTAAAGTTAATGACCTAAAACTGCAACAGTATATTACACTTATGGGGTCCTACAAAATTTTCATAAACATTATGGGGTCCTGGAGTCGCGAAGAAAATCTCAATGATAAAAAGGGGTTGCGACTGAAAGAAGTTTAAGAAGGCCTGATTTAGACAAGAGTAAACATGTCCCATGTCCTCAACCTCTAAATTCTTCTATACTATTTAAAATACATGAATACTTTCTTAATATGTTGTAAAATATAAAATCAGAAACAGGAACAAAATTTTAAATACCTTCTTCAATAATCATGCACTTAATGATTCTGTCTTCTCAAAGACGTCTAACACTTTGATGGAAATTCTTATTTATAAGCTAAACTGCTCAGCCAATCTCTGCTACTGCATGACCACCGCTTTTGAAATTCATAATGTTTCGGGAATATAAGAATATTTTGACAAGTTCGTAATTTCTAAAAACCATAGTTTCCAGAGCTTAAGATTAATTTTATTCTCTCCCCCTCTCACAGAGTATTCTAGTAGCCTTTCCTCTTTGCTCCTTTCCACTGGGTTAGAGAATAAATACTGTTCTACAAGAGGCTGTAAGTTGGTTTTGAGATTTGATTTTATATTCAAGTGTTGTGAAGTTTATATATTGAATGATTTTAACCTCCAAGCCTGTTTTTGCAATTTTGTTGCATATTTTATACTCTGAATTAATGAATTTTCAACCACAAAGATCTTGCAGTCTTAAGCTAATCTTCATTTCCAAAACTCATTATTGCTTGACTAATTTGGACAAACAGTTTAAAGTTTCTTTTTATCTCACCGATCTATTCAGGAGATCTTAAAACCTATTTATATGCAACGAAGTTAATTACTTTAAACTGTTATTTTGCTACATTTTATATTTTAAGTAAAATAATATTAAACTTAGTTTATATATAAAACTATATGCTATTAATATTTAAGGGTGTAAAAAATAAATAGAATAATGGAATAGATAAATTTCTTAAAAGAACCAATTAAATAAAGAAAATAGTTCTTAATATAAGTTTTCTGATAATAATAGTATTAATAAATTAATGATTAGTTTTTTCATTAGTATTGTTTTCTCATATACATACCCTAAATTTTAAATAGGTATAATATTAAATATAAAATCTGAAAAGGGGGAGAACCTTGAATTGACATTCTCCTCCAATTTTAAATTATAAGCATATTTGTATTCTAATTAAATATTGTTAAATGTTTTTTGTGATATCTACAGATTATACAAAAACAACAATATAGACAACCTAAATATTTTTTAGTAGATGAATTACATATCAAATAATACGAGGGCCATCCAGGAAGTAGATTACGTTTCCGTCTGTGTCCGCTAGGGGCGTGGCTAGCGCGGCCATCTTGGGGTCAGAGCGTTGCGCAGCTCAGTCTGCATCTAGCCGTGCTAGTGAGAGGTTCGTGCTGTGCTCTGTTCAGATACTGTGACGGTTTGAAATGTCTGCGTTAATTGAAAATCCCGCGAGCTGCGAGGTGCGCTCAGTAATAAGGTTTCTGACTGCAAAAAACTGTAAACCGATAGAAATCTATCGGCAGCTTCGTGAAGTGTATGGGGACAACATTATCACTGAAGGTGGAGTGCGTCAGTGGGTCATAAGATTTCAAAATGGCCGAACCAATGTTCACGAAGAAGATCGAAGTGGGAGACCCCAGCATAGTGACCGCCGAACTTCTCGAAAAAGTCGATGCTAAAGTCCGTGAAAATCGAAATTTCACAATAACGGAACTTTCTTTGAGTTTTCCTTTTCCACAAATTTTCGCGAAGTTTGTTGCACGAAATCATCAGCGAAAAGCTTGGTTACCACAAGTTTTGTGCAAGATGGAAGGCAAGAAGAGGTACGAAGTGGTTGAAGGCGCAGGCGGGCCGAATTTTTTTCGACGAAGGAATTTCCAAGCTCGTACATCGCTACGATAAATGCCTTAATTTGTATGGTGACTATGTAGAAAAGTAGTATTGAGTGTGGCTTTCATCTGTAATAATAAAATTGTTTCCTATACTTTTTATTTTTTTATTTTTTATTCCAAAACGTAATCTACTTTCTGGATAGCCCTCGTATTTTTCATCTAAACAGATCATATTGCTAATAAATCAAAACTAGTCTTGAAAATGTATAACTGCCAATTAATACAACCCCTACACATAAAATCAACACATTTGCTCTTGACATTGCATTAAATATATTTTAAAATAAATAAGTACAATATGTGCAATGAATTTTATATGTACAGAATCTGCTTTGGGGAGGAAGTATTGGTAAAATGAACATTTAAATTCTATAAATATTAGTAAATAAAATTTTTGTTCTAAAATAAATAAAACTCAATAAAAAGATATTATAATACAACTAAAAAAAACCGTTGTAATATACTGAATTTTACAACTATTTTTTCTGATTTACAATATAGCTGCTAACTTTGAAACATGAGAAACTGGGAAATTTTCATATCACAACATCAAATGAACTCCAAATTGACAAATTTGATTTAAAGTTAAATGTATGATTAGATTTTTTAAAGTAGATATAACACAATTTTAATGTAAAACATACTGAAGTAAAATTTCATTCGGTTCTGTACTATTATTTTTTTCTTTAATTTCATACACTTATGAAAACCCAAGAAGACAAGAAAATGTTTAACACAGTGAAAATAAAATTAACAGTTAATGTGTACATAATCATGGCCATCAAATTAATAAGAGTACTATTTACAAATTTAAAGCAAAATTAAATACCAATATTTACCTATTAACCCTCTGAGCGGCCAGGGTTTTCACTAAGAAAGCACAAATTTTCCGAAAACTACTATAAGAACAATTAAAAAAAATTTTTATTTTTTATTTTAATGTAAAAACTCTCCTGGTATTTCATACCTGGATTTTTTTTCGTTTGATATATTGCCTCAATTTTTTTGACATATTATATACGTTCTTACAGATATCACAAAAAATATTTTAGGCCATATATGTATTCAGCCTTGCCGCTTAAAAGGTTAAATATCGTTTAAGTTTTCATAAAAGCTTTCACAAATCTTTTTTATGCCCCAAAATATTTTAGATCGAGTTAAAATTAATGAGAAAAATTACTCGGAAAATCACTTGAGGAAAAATTGAGGATGAATTATATTTCATCAACAAATGACAATATCATCATCCTAAATATTTTTAAGTATTTATCATCAAATTTTCTTTTCCATCAACATTTAGTTAACAGCATAAATAACAGTTATTAGCTTAGTAAAATAGCATTTTCTTTTCTTTTAACATTTAGTTATCAGTATTTCTTCTCAATTTATATTTGAAACAAATGATTAGAAATTCAGACACATTATATTAAAAACTTGGAGATCTAGAAATTTACCAAGAAACCCAGAGATTGATCATCTGGAGTATTCCAGTTTAACTAGGACAGTTGGCAACTTTGATTTACAAATAATATAAAAGAGCCACAACAAATTTGCAAATAGAGAATTTTAGTTTTGTTTTTATTTTACTTTAATTTTGTGCTATTCATTGCTTTCATAATTAAATTTGCTTTGTTTTTTTTTTGTTTACTTCATAATAATATTTATTTAAAAATAATACTTCAAACTAAGAAATGCATTAATAGTTCTACAATACATAAATATAATATAAAAAGGCTTTTCTTCAAAAAATTAAACAATTTGCTATAAAAAGTAAATATCTGAAGTAAATTCATAATAAAAGTGTTACTATTATTATTTTAACAAATTGCAATTTATTGTAGAAAATCATTAACAGGACAGTTATCAACATTTGATTCTTTCAAGAAATTTAAATATGCTTCTTATATGGGGGAAAAATTAAACACACTGCTTAATGGTAAAGAACATTATATTGCAGATGCATAGATTATGTCTGCAAAATACTATTTAACCTATTGGTTTCTTCATTATTGAATTCGTGTAACTTTACTCAAAATTTAGGGAAAAAAAAAAAAAAACTTTATTTAGTGTGGATTTATAATAAAAGTATAGATTTTGAGAACGATTGGGTACAGTTCCTTCATCATAGAATTTTATTTAAAGTTGCCAAACTAAGGTTACTTTTCGGCCAATTTTAAATTTTACATTAGCATGTTTCCCATTTGGTTGTAACTGTATGCTGGCAATAATGGAAAAAAAAAAAAAAAAGGGACAAAATATTTGTTCTGCATGTAAATTTAAAAAATATAAAAGTATTTTGTAAATAACATTTAAAAACAAATTAAGATAGCAAGATCTTTAATATGAATTTTTTACATATGATTTCAAAATTTTAACATCTTCCAAAGGACGATCATTGCTGTCAGTAGGAACTTTTGAAATCCTTTGGACTACATGCATGCCACTGTTCACTCTGCCAAATATAGAATGTTTGCCATCAAGCCATTGACACGGTGCTAAGGTTATGAAAAATTGGCTGCCATTGGTATCAGGACCGGAATTAGCCATAGAAAGAATACCAGCACCTGTAAATGGCAGTATTAACATAGAGTAAAACATAAAAATTTAAAAACAATGCAGTAGTGATTTAAGATTAAAAAAAATAGAATAATTTAAATAACTATCATTTTCAACATCAATTTTCAGCGAATTATAAACAGCTAAATATAACAATGATTTATAATGAAACATATATCCATTACATATACCATACAATATAGATTTAATTGCATATTTCTAATTTACTTGTATAATCCTTTAAAATTCAGTGTAATAGAATGAAGGTATACTTAACTGCAAATGATTGAAAATTAAAAGCAGAAAGCAACTTAGTAGAAATGTCTAAAATCAAAAAAGGAAGGCCCTGAAGAAGTATCTTAAGAAAATTCTGCTTCAAATTGTTTCAGCATGAGAAGCCTAAGCTGCTTTTCTGTTTCTTGATAAAGTAACCTAGAGATCAAGAGTTCACACTCATAGTTGCACTTGAAGGGAATTCATGTCACCTTTACTGCTTTACTGTATACATTTGGGACAAGAAAAATAACCAAACTTGATTATGCAAAAGTATGTGAAATTTGAATGTTTTAGTTGGCAGTTTAATCACATTGTTAAAGTATCAGTTTTAAAATTTAAAAATAGCATTGGCATGATTGAAATTGCTATTTAATCTGTTCTTGATAAATTCATTTCATCGAAATTGAGCAGTGAATTTCTTTGACATAAAGAACTTTTTACAGAATGTTTTTAGTTTTTGTTCTGCAGAAGGTTTTCTTTGATTGAGACAGAGAATATTATTAACTGGTCTTTATCGCATAAGTTAACTTAGGGCTTTATTTAATTCACTGAAATTTTGTAAAATGAATTAGTTTCAAAATCAAGTTTTAAAAGAAACTTGCAAGAGAAAAAATTTTCACTTTTATGTAAGAAAAAAAAAGGGGGGGGCAATGAAGAAAAAGAAAAAGGCCAACTCCTGGTAATTTTTTACCAAAGGTCATGAGGTCCTAGAAGTTAATGACTACTGAAGTTTCCAAGAATTCCTTCCACCACTCTTAGAACAGATTCTATAAAAATGTTTTCCACTGTTTTTAAAACAAATGCTCGAAAAATAATGCAGAAGTCCAAACTGATTCCTATACATTCCAAGACATAATCATAACAACTCATCTTCAAAATGCTAAGGTGATAAGTGTTGCTGCATCTTGAAATGTGGGCTTAGAATATAAAGACACCTAGTGACCTTTTCGACTATAGTGATTCAAAGCTTGAAACAGTTACTAATTAGCAGCTACTTGAGTCAAATATATACTTCTCTGAAGTAAAAGTTTGGTGATTCAAAAAGATTTGCAGTTTTCTCTGCACAGTTAACTCTCTCTTTTAAGATTAATAAATGTTTAAATGATTTTCTTTTGAAAAAGAAGGAACTATAGAAAAATATAACAAAAATTTGTTGAATATGACTATATTTAATTCATACTCAGACAAAGACATCATTAAGATGTCTATATCTGATGCATACTCAGACAAAGACATCTTAAAAACACTTACTCAAAGTGTTTTAGGAAACTACGGCTGTTTATGGCAAGAACTAATTTCACAGTAATACAGAAGATTGTGAATTTTTAATTACTGCCAAGCAGGGATTATTGGTGGGGGGAGAGGAAAAGAAAAATTCGACGAATTTAGTGAAGTTGCTATGCTATATACATAATTTTCTTCCAAAGAATGGTGAAATGAATTTTAATTAAAAAACATTTGAGAGATTTTATGTTATTCTTGAAGACTTGAGAGCTTTTGCTAAGGAACTCTAAAACGTTTTATTTTTCTATTAGTCCTTTGATCATTTAAATAAATTTGAAAATAGAGATGCATTAAACAAATTTTGGAAATTTAACCATTTTCATAAAAGTACATGCAACTATTTTATTACAGAAGGAATATTTCTGCGATGATAAACTATTAGAAGTGAATGAATTTGTATTGATTTCAACTGTGTTCTATGTTTTAGAATGGACAGCAATTAAAATGTCAAATCATGAATTTAAATCTTGCCACAGTTGGTCAACAGGTGGGAAATTTTATAATATTTACTTGCTTTATATATTAGTTCATCCTAAAAGTACTTCTATTTCACAAAAATGGCTTAAATTAATTGTTTGTTTAATCTTTAGCTGCTAGCTCTATTAGTTTCTTTTGTCATAAGATTGTATTTATTCTAAAATTTATAATATTTAATATATAATGCATAATCATGAATTCAGGTACTTCAGTTTACTTCTGATTGATGCATGAGTAATGATTTAAGTTTACTACACAAATAACAATTTTTGGTTCCTTATTCAGAAGCATGTGGTATTTTTTTTCCTTCTATGTGCTTGCTTGATTTCTACTGTTACAACAAAAATGCAAATGTTGCTATATTAAGGGGCACTGCAAAAGAAAATATAAATACACTACAAAGTCCAGACATCCAGCCTTCAGAATGATCTAAAATCCAGACTTTAGATCACCAGCAACATTTTTATTAATGTTTTACACCTGCCAACTGGATATATTTTCATAATAAAAAATGTGGAGAATCACAATTCTTAATTTCAGACATGGATGAGTCTTCACTGACACCACCTGGTGAATGATCATGTATTGTTTTATGCTTTTATCACTGCATGACTATCAATGCACTGTATCATGAGAAACGACTCACCCAGCTATGTGTAAACATGCGACAGGCGACAGTGTGGGGACATCAGAGCTTCACTATGAGATTTTACAGGTATTGTTTCCTCACACTAACTGCCTAGAAGAAAGACCCTTCCAGGGGTCTTGCGAGTGCCTAGTTGGGCAAAACTTGAGATATTAAGTGTTTAAACTGGTACTTTTCATATTAGAAAAAACAAGTATGCTGCCAATTCCCTGATACTGTTGAAAAATTATATGAATCTGCTTTTTTTAGCTTTTGGATCATTTATCCTGAAGAACTATTTGCTTCTGTTGATTACCAAAGATTTCTTTTCATTTTTTATTATCCGATAGTCCTATGAGTTTTTACATAAGTTGAATATAAAGCTTTCAACAAATAGATTGTAATTTCTGAACTTTTCTGAGTGTCTTGATTTGAATAATCTACTTATGTTTTATTACGTTTATCTATCCATTTATAAGCATCTTTTGAAAAAATTTCATTTTTTTAAATAGGGCTCACCAGCGGCCGAGCGGTAACGTCGCTGAACACTGGTAGTTCGTTCCGAGGTTCGAATCTCACGAACAGGCTGGCTGCATGGGTGTTTTCGTGGTTTTCCCCATGTGTAACGTGTATACGAGCCAGTTTCCCTTAAAAAGTCCTCCACGAAGGCATCCTTCCCTTAAGGCAGATAGCCCTTGAGTGCTTTGCCGTAATCTAATATACCATACCATACCATTTTCTTAAATAGCATGACAATGAAATACTCTAATCACAATCAAATATTTACCTGAATGCTTTAAATCACTATGTATTTCATCTTCAAAATTTTTTCCATATATAGAACTTCCACCTCTACCTATAATATACATACTCATATGAATATGAAATACTTAAGATTAAAAACTGCAATAAATGCAGTTTATCAGCCAAATAATAATACAATAATAATGATAATAAGACATAAGAATGAGATAACTTAATACAAATTAGCAATTTAACATTCATCTTTTACATAACTTCCTGTCTTCCAAGCACCAAAGTTAAAAATGAACAAATAATAAGGATTTTGGGTCACCTTTTTAAAATTAAAATAAGTAGATGAAAATATTTTCATGTACAAATTTAATTTTGAAACTACAAACAATTCTGAAAATAAAATTCTAAAACATGTTTGTTTTTTAAAAATATTTTAAAGTTTGAATTGCAATTCACCTTACTTCTTAGCTTCAGCTTTTAAAGAATGATAGTTTAAAAGAAGAAAATTTCCTACAATCTCAAGTACCAAGAGATATATAAAAATCACAATAAACAGATGAACTCAATTTTCCCCTTTCATTACTTTATTTCTTGTTTTTTTAATTATGAAGTATAATCTCAATAATTGTAAAATAAATCAAAATTTCTATTAAAATATCATAAGAAATTTAAGAAAATGGCTAAGATTTTTCAATTAACAAGATACAGATTTTATAATTTTATGTGTCCAGAAAGAATGTATACAATAAATGGCAAATCATCCTAAATTTAGTATCTGTTACATTTTTTACATTCATTACAATTTGTGTACAATAAATTGTCTTAAAATATTTGTGAAAAATTATAAATAAATATAAATAAGTAAAAAAAATCTACTTCCCAGAGTACATTATTAGAGTAGTTATTTAATGCAAATAAAATTGAGCTATTTATTCATTTTCAAATGAGAATATGGTAATGATGTAATATGCTATCTACTGCTCTTAGTAAGTTAAAATAACTTCTTAAAATTTATTAAACATCTACTTTTAATAATTTAGTTTATTTTTTAGACAGTGTCTTTAAAATTGGTTATTGTTTTAACCATTTTTTTATGGTCATTTTATCACATGTTCAAATAGGAGAGCTATAGAATTTTGTATTTTATGAAATTAATGTTATTGAATTATGAAGCTATCAAAATTTAAGAGTACTGCACCACAAATTTATCCCCATTCTCTTGCAGAAGCATGACAGAAATCCATTACTAAAAGTACATGACTAATATTTTTTGGTCCATGACTATGTGACATTTGTAATGTATACGGCTGAATGATTCACAAAAACAGCTCTTCTGTTATGTAAAACTGGAAGAGTTTTAAATTTAATGGAATTAGAAATATAATATATTGTTAAATTAATTAATGGAATCATTTTCTTTTATGTATTTTTAATTATTTGTCTTTAATTTCATATTTAAAATTTGTGTTTTTTGTGTAGCACCATCTAACAAATAAATAATTATGTTTACGATTTATGGATTTACAACACTGAATTTTTAGTGGAATAAAAACACAAAATTTATTTATTATTTAATTACACTAATATTTTCCTAAAATCCATAACTTTATTACAGTTAAAAACACTTTTGTACAATACAATTATTCATAAGCTAAGTCATAAATAGTGTTATTGATTTCACTAATTGTTCAATATTATATTTAAAAGAGTAACTTTTACAAAACATCTTCATAATAACACTTGATTATGATATTTACACAAAATACTTATGAACAATTCTGAAATTACAGATGCAACAATAAAGTACTTATATTCATATTTTATTATGAAAAATTTAAATTGCTTACAAACAGAAGAAAGCATCAAAATATGATACATGAATTTACAAGCTTTATATATTACATAAATGTAAATTTACAAATGAAATAAAAAGAAATACAGGAGGAAGTTAAAAAAGAAAAACATAGTGCACACAGGACCAGAATTGTAGACAAAATTCCATAATGGACATACCTAAGTTAAAACAGTAGTTATGTAAATACCTGTAAATCAAAAATGCTGGCACAAATCCTACCAAACTTACACTAATCATGCCAGTGAACGTTTAAAGAAATGGAAATCAGTTTACTTAGTTACATAATAAAGATACACAAGCTATACTACCTGACATAAATCAGATTTTCATATGGATATGCACTTGATAAACTATTGCACTGTCATTGTTTATCCATTCTCATATAAAATGCCATATCATGCCCATTAACACACACTTTTTTTTTATGGCCAGGATTCTGTAAATTTGAACGTACTTCATTATTTACTGTTCCATAAAATCCCAGCCCCAAATTTTAATCATTTTTTTTCAAAATGTGTGAGAAAAACAGAGAATATTTGTTAATTCTTCTTTAAAAAAATAAACTGGCTTACAAAGGATTAATCATAGTTACATAAAACTACGGCAGAGCTCTTACCGATGTGTTGTGATCTCGCACTTTTCCATTAATGCGATAAATCATACTGTTTAATGATAGTTTTTTTTTTTTTTTTTGGGGGGGGGGGGTCAAAAAATAGTCAACAGGAAAGAACATAGATACCATTAAAATAATATATACTGATTACCCCGATGAAACTAATAGGACACACATGAAAGTCTATTAAAATTAAGCATAAATATCAGAAATGGTTAAGTATGGAAGAGTCATCATATTTTGATCTGCAAATATTTTTTTAGTATTAATCACTCCCAAATTTTGTGAGGTTTAGCAATGGAGCATGAACTAATTTTATCAAACTTACTACTTGCCTGAATCACTCCTCAGTAAAATATTAAATTATAGTGTTTACATGATTCCTTGAGAAAACACTAAAAAAAACTAAAATAATCTTGTACTTAACAAGGGCATAGCTATGGTTTTCAGCACTCAAGGACAAATGAAGATTTCATGCATCCTTCTGTTTGCCAAAATGTAATGGGGAATACCAATTTGATACCCACTGGATGCTACACTCGAGGACATAAAAGATACATATAAAATGACATATCTGACTAGCTTTATTTAACTCTTATGGTACAATCAAAAGTCGTTAATCCGGACTCGTCGGGACTTCGGCGATTCCGGATTATCGATTTTTTCCGGATTATAGATCATCAGTTTAAATCGCATAAGATGGCATGCAGAAATTCTAAAATTAAAATATGAAACCGTAATTTATGAAATAAAACAATTATGATCTGAAGTATCAAATTCAAAAAAAGCTTAATATTTATTGTTACTTTATTAACTTTTTTCGTATGTTTTGGGGTTTATGATAATATTTTCTTTAATTCTATAAACAGACATTCGTTTGGAAATTCTTATGTTTTTGTTGTGTATAATTTTTGCGTATTATTTTTACTGTGAATTTGTATTATCTTTATTTTTAAATTAATGTATAATATTTAATATTGTTAAACTTTACGGCAAAGCTCCCTTTAAGTTTGGCAGAATTGTGTTACAGTTAAAAGGGCGCGGGTGTATTTCCGTTTCTCACGATTCGGCTTCCTTGGAGGTTAGAGGTCACTGTCCAGCTGCATTTTCCCCTTTTTTCGCGGGGGTTGAAAACACGTGTTTTTCTCGTTCAGAGGCGAATAGTTCTAAGGGGCAGCGATTTTTTTTGACAGAGTTATAGGTTGGAAACATTCTTCTGTTGCGTGGGAAAGAAAGGGTCTGTCTTCTTGTAGAAAGTTCTGAATTTCTGAGAATTTCAGTGGCGATTTATGACCTTTCTTCTAGTTGGCGAAAGGGACTCTAAGTTTCCTTAAGATTGGCTAAATTTTTAATTTTAGTGTTGTTTGAACCAATAGTAATTTTGAGGCGTTTCTTGGTGAGTGTAAACCGAGGTTTCTTAAGCCGTTGCACGGAAGGCAGGGGATCTTCTTTTGGACTTGAAAAAAAAAAGCGATTTTTAGAGAAGACTTTTAAGAGGTTTTTGGAGCCTTAGGGGTTTGCTACTTTGACGGCGGCCCCTACGGGGCCGGCCGCGGTCAGTGAGGTGCTGAGATGGTGCGGAGGAAAAACGCGGCGGTTCTTCGGTGGTCGACCGCGGTATACAGTTAAGTTTTTATCTCCGAGATTTCTGGGTACGGAGGGTCCGAGACAGTGTGGGTGCTCGACATGTTTGACGGCGGCGATTCTTGCGGCCTATTATTTTCAATTTCGTCGCTGAGATTTCTTTTCCCATTTGTGGAACAGTCTGAACTGCTCGTTCGTGCTGGAGTATCTATTTTGCTTTAGAAAAGATGGAAATATGGAAAGTCGTCATCGCCTGAGGTCTGCTTTGGTCTTTTGTCTCCAGTTTCGACCCCCTTCTCTTATCTTCAGTGGAACTTCGAAAACGGGAAGTTGATTGAGTTAAAGTGCTGCTTAACGGAGGAATTTGAAAACTTTAAACTGGAACTATGAAAAGGCTCCGGTTCCGGAAAACAACGATGAAGATTTAGGCTAGTTATTGTTTCGGTGATTTGAAATTGGATCAATGGATTTGGGCAGCTCCCTGAGTCTCTCAAAGGTGGTACGCCGATTTCGTGAGTGACTTTTTATTTTGATACATAATCTTTTTAAATTTGGAAATGTTTAATACTAAGGCAAGAGTTGACATGTTAAGTAGATAAAAATTGAATATTTTTACCAAATTTCCAGCTGAGATAGTAATTTTTTATTTAATGTTTAATAGTCAGAAGTCAATTGAACTAATTGGAGGAAGTGAATCTTTGTTTTAATGTTTAAGTGCTATGTTCAATATGTTTTATTCTAAATTAGTTTTTTTAAATGAGTTTAATATTCTTGAGTTCCTGCTTAAAATGATTAAGAACTGTGAAGTGTTTCACGATGATTTTTGTATTAATGGATTAATGTTAAATATGAGATTGATATGAAAAAAAAAAAACTATGAGTAACTTTTAAAGATTTTGTAGGGGTAGTCTGGCCAGCTATCTTAAGTTATAATGTGTGGGAATTTTCAATAAATGTGTTATTACCTTAAAAAAAAAAAAAAAAAAAAAAAAATTGTTACATAGGAAAAAAAATTATTTTTCACTCAACTTTATCTCTTTACATGTAACTATCTTTTCTCTTGGTACCGTGACAAAAAAAAAAAAAAAAAAAACTACTACTCTAACTTTGTACTTACATAATCAAAACTTTTAAAATCTAAAAGACATCAAAGAAAGATATCTTCCCTGGTGTTTTGGTAGAATCACGATTAATTATGCACATCCACAACAAAATCTTTAACAGGCTATCTCTCACTAAATGAAAACTAATTTATATCTCCAACCTGAAAACACATAAATTTCAATCTTAAATCTAGAGATAAGCTTAAACCTTGAACATTTCAAATATCACACAGAACTCTTCAAAACACCGGGGAAAGATACAATTGAGATTGTATCTTTCCCCTGTGTTTTGAAGAGTTCTGTTGACTGTATATGATTACAGTAATTGTGCAGCTCCAAAATAGGATATCAACTATTCTTATGCAATTGTGTTAATAGCTGTTTCCAAAGTTCTGTAATTACCGAATGTCTTTTTAAGTAACACACATGGATGTGTACATGGGAAGAAGAGAGGGAGGGGGAAAGGTAAGTGCTTTATTGTGGAAGTTCTTACATTTATAATTTTGTTAATTTGTTGCTGTTTTATGTAAATATTAGCGCAGTACCATTTTTTAAAATAGCTGTTGTCTTTGGTGTCTTAGGTAGGCCCCCCCAAAAAATGAATCACCTTCAACTGGTGACTTTTCTAGAAGGTTCGGCGGATAATAACAAAGTACAAAAACATTATGATTTTTTTTTAAATATAATATAAAAGAATGCACAGGAAAATGTCACTACTGCTTGTTAAAGCTGAAGAATTGTGATGCTCACGACTGCCACAGCTTGGTATATTCCAAAAATCTTGGAGAGAAATTAAAATGTGAGATTAATATGCAAGTACCTGTTTTCTGTTTTGAAAAACAGTACTTTTTGTTGATTTAGTTCATAATAAAGCCAGAAAATACAGAATCAAATACTATTTTGAATACAAAACTCTATCCAGTAAAATTTAAAATGCCTTTAAAACATTTTTGACCCCCCCAAAAAAATATTATGCATAAAAGCAAGTTAATCCTGCACCCTACCTGTTCCTGTAGGGTCACCACCTTGAATCATGAAATCTGATACTATCCGATGAAAAATAACATTATTATAATATCCCAGTTTTGCAAGTTCAGCAAAATTTCTACAGGTTTTAGGAGCATGTTTCCAATAAAGTTCAAACTCTATTGTTCCCATCCTGAAAATAAATAAATAAATAAACTTTTAAATGCAAAAAACATTAATTTTAACATTAAAACTTTATACAGATACATTTATTTCAGCAGACTATTCAAAAACTATATGTCTCAAGAAGCACGTTTGATTCATCTTAATGGAAAATAAGCTTATGATTATCTGAGGCCTTTATGAGATTTGACGATTCTGAGAAATATAGAGCTATAAGAAATGTATCAGATGACTTTTCATGAAAAGATTGTCAGTCATCAACAAGACAACTCAGATGATAGCTCTTGTGATCTTGTCTCTTTCCTAGATGCTAACTTGAAAAGCTGCAATGTAACCCTTACCCAAGTATAATCTCTGAGGTTCTGAAAATGAAAAGTTGTTCCAGACACTGAGATGTCTACTCTTGATAAAATGAGAAAAAACTTATTTCAAAAGCAACTGATAAGTGTGTGGCAAGAAAGATGGTATACAAGCAAAACAGGAAAGCTTATCTGTAAAATCTCCTCTGCAGTCAAAGGAATAAATGCAGACTACTACAGGGTTCGTACACATATCTTGCACATGGAAATCAAGTACTTTTAAGGACCATTAATGAGAAAATTAAGGACCCATCAACAAATGGGAACTGAATAAATTCAATTGCCTGCTATTTTGACTTTCTGTAGTAGCTTTCTGTAGTTTCTTTCTTTTGTAGCGGCGATTTTTTGCGCATAAAATCGCTATACAAATCCAAAATAACAAGTCAAAGAATTGTACAAACTTGGTATCCATGTACACATCAACCTATTTTTCCTTTAAAAAAAATCAAAGAATTTCACAAACTAGGCAATCCATGTACACATCAACCTATTTTTCCTTTTTAAAAAAATCAAAGAATTTCACAAACTAGGCACTGCACACTCCCTTTATCCATGTACACATCGATCTTTATTCATTTAAAAAGTCAAAGGAGCAGCCAACAAAAAATATTGTTGTGTGCATACGGGTTCGTTTCAATTGAATGCACAAGTCCGATGAAAAATGAACAAAATTTATTATTATCACAACAAATAAAACAAAATACTTCAATTTCCTCAGATATTTGTACAGTATTAGAATAGCTCACAGTAGTTATCTTTTAACTACTCAAACAACAAAATTTAATTCAAAACAGCTAGAGAAACAGAATTTAATTCAAAACAGCTAGAGAAAGCTAATCTATGAATTCGCTGCAGTCAATAAGAGCAGTTTTCTAAACAAACTCTTAAAACAATAACTAAATAATGAATTGGGAGGTTTTCATGCCACTTATATAAGCTTTTTAATTGCACGAGAATTTTCCGGTATTTTCTCAAAATCAAAAAGAGATATTTATTTATTAAATGTTAAATGCATGCACTCTTGCATTTTTAATTTTTCGGCTTAGCTTTCTTTTAATATTCGTCACGCGCTGCACTGCATGAATAAAACAATTTTATTTATAATTCTACTAACATTAACTAATTAAATACCAAATCCCTAACAATATATAATCACAACAAACCACATTTTAAATCAAACAGTGAAATAACATAAAAAAGGAAATACATCTTAGCACTACACAAAGGAAATATCCACTTACCTTATTTACAAATTTCCGTGTCTTCAGTCGAACAAAATTCCTTAACAGCATCCAAAAACTTCCTAAAGTTATCTAAACTAGAATCTGTATGCTGCTGTCGTCACACAAATTCCCAAAAATAAGAGTCAAAATATCCTCCATAGTGCTGGTATCCTCCGACGTTCGACCATGCACATTTCCTTCCTACAAACAGGACACTTATAACGGCTACTACGTAAACCTTCATTTAGACACCAGTCAATTAATGCTTTTTTCCCTTTCATTTCAAACGTACAGAAACTTCAAATTAATCTCACCACATTCAGCCATTTTACCATGTAAACCACAAAATAACAACATACTTCGGAACTACTCTGATATGCGCCCTCAAGTCGCCAAATATTTTTGGCGAGAAACTTCACGATGCCATATTACTATCTAAATTTTTTGTCTACATTTTTAACTTTTAGCCTAAAATGTCTCCAAAAACGCGGTTTTCGCACACGCAAAAACTACGTTTTGAACACACAATTTAGCTAAAAATCTGAAACAAAAACAAAAAATTTAGATAGCAGAAACGTAAAGTTTCTAACCAAAAATATTTGACAAGAATCCATGTACACAGCGACATGTTTTAACTTAAAAAAACATCTACGAATGGCACATATAGGCAATGAACGAATCTACAAACTACGCACACCTCGCTTTAATAAATTAACATAACAACAACAAATTTCAAAGAATACCATGTACACAGCATCCTGTTCAAACTTTAAAAAATTCTACGAATTGCACAATTTAGGCAAGGAAGGAATCTACGATCTACGCACTCCTCGCGTTAATAAAATAACATAACAACAATAAATTTCAAATAATACCATGTACACAGCATTCTCTTTCAACTTTAAAAAACATCTACGAATTGTACAGTCTAGACACTAAACAACAAAATAAACTAAAATAAATTTCAAACAATTTAAAAAAAAAAAAACAACAATAACAACAGAAATTCATACTAAAGAACCAATAAACATAGCATTCTACAAAATAAGAATAAGGATAAAATAAAATGCACTTACCATGAATTAATGCGTTTTCAAATAGCAGAAATATAAATTTCATACCACCTTTAACATGCCTCCACGTAATCACTATCGTATTTACATTACAGCCAGACACACTATCCAGAAAATTTATACTATGGTTCACAAATAAATAAAATTACAAATCCCTACTTCTATCATGCACTGCCATTAAAAATAATCTCCCAGACCCTCTTTCCACACTTCCAAATACCCACTACCTCTCAACAGGATAGCCACAATCATATTTCCTTTTGCCGAACTTTAATTCAACAACTACCAATTTATCTTTCCCTCCCATCTTCTCAGACACAGAGGCGAACCAACGAGCTCCAGCGAAAGATTTTTCAACGTCAACAGGGTTGCCATAGAACACGCAATCGCGCCAAAAACCAGCGCAGAACACATATCGCCACATTTGGTGAAATTAGGGCGTATATTAGAGTTGTACCCATACTTCTTATCCAAAATCTGACACACAAACAAGCCTTTACAAATCTCTTCCCCATCACTCAAATTCACTGCAATCATGCAAACAGTTACATCATAATAGAATTTCCATAGCATTCAACTACTCAGGTTACCACAAATGAAACAACAACTTGGCGATAAATGAAACAAACAACTTAGTGATAAATGAAACAACAACTTAGCAATAATCAACTGTTTTCTGATCAATAGCGATAATTACTTATTTTTTTCAACTAAATATAAGCCTGAAATTTTGTTATTCATGATTTAAATTCAAGTCCCCTTAAGAAGTTTTTTTCATGATTTACATTCAAGTTCCTTTAAAACACTATTTTTAGTATTAAACATCCTACATGTGGGTTCCCTCTTTTTGATAAATTCTATTAAATTTATATTAGGAGATAATATAATCAATATTTGAGTAAATAAATTATTATTATCTTACTTTGCAGCTATTGCCCAAGTATTAGAAAACTTGCTTTCAAATTTAAAACGAATTTTAGATCATTTAATGTTTTTACACACACATCATATATATATATATATATACATATGAGGAAGTCGGAGTCTTTAAAATTCCAGGAGTCGGAATCCGCCATTTTTCCTACAGATTCCACAGCCCTGGTTGTAACCCAGTAGAATTAAGTTTTACATTTTTGTGCTGTATATGACCACAATAGCGATTAATGAAAGGCAATAACTCACTTTATTATGCAAAGATAACTTTTAAGGGTGACCAGTTAGTTACAAATAATTAAATTAGCTAATTAGATACCCTTAGTCATTATAGATTTAAATGGCTACTATTAAATCTATTTTATTAAAAATATTTGTTAAAAAAGCACTATTAAAATTCAATTAGAAATTTGTTTCAATACACAAACTAGTGTCCTCACTTTATTTTGTACAGGTGTTTTTTTAGTTACATGTTGAATAATGGTCTTTATTTTGTCGAGGTGGTTTTTTGGTTACGTGTTGAATAATGGTGTACAATTCCATGAAGGAAGTTGTGGAGAGATATCAGCCACAAGTTTTAGAGTGTATTCAAGCTAAATTTAATGCGAGAAGATATGCTGTTGGAGTTATTAATGAAGCACCATGCTGACATAAGCGTATTTTTTGCAGTTTTTATGGGATACAGGATTTTTGAAGCCAAAACTTGACATATGAGAAGTCTGGCTCTAATATGAAGATTCATAAGAAAAATTGTGTTTTGGGAGGATTTGCAGAACAATTGTTTAGGGTACAGAATGTAGCTCTGAATGAAGTTTGAGGTTTGAATCTGCATTTCCTGCAGTAATTCATTTTTCATTGAAATTTTGAATCGTAGAAACATGTCTGATATAGCTAAGTCATGGCATTTTGGTTCACATGCTTTGTGTGATTGGCATAGTTTTATTAATGAAAGTAAATTGTGTAAAGATCGTGACGACATTTACATATGTGTAAAGATCGTGACTTAAAGAGAACGTGAAATATAAATAATAGGACAAGAAATTTCATTTTACGGTGTGGCAACAAGAAGATTCAGAAGATTTTTATATATTTTGTTTAGAGAGTTTAAGATTTTAATATAATAACAGTTATAAGAGTTTTAACTGTAGTAGTTAAGAATTTAAAATTTTGATAGTTAAGAGCTGCAGCATTTATTTTTTTGGTTCTGTTTTAAAATTCAAATAAAAGTATTTTGTTCATACTGAAAATTTAGCTTTGTTCTTCCTACAAGGTTCAATATCCATTATATTGAAATAAGGAAAGGATTTTTACTATATGTGATATGTCTGTCCTTATAAGTTTTTGTTTGAAATTAACGTTTTGCTTTTTTATTATTTTAATTTTGTAGACAGTTATTTTAATTGTTGCATGGCTTTAATTTTTTTTTATTTGTGTTGAAATTGTTTGGAATTTATTATTATTTTTAAAATTTGTCATCAAACATTTTTGATGAGAAACTTCATGCTTATCTAAATTGTTTGTTTTTATTTCAGACTCTTAGCATGCACATACGAAAACCACGTTTTTTCAGACACTTTAGACTTTAAGTTTGAAATGTACACAAAAAACTTAGATAAGTAAAATCATGGAATTTCTCAGCAAAAATATTTGACAAGAAATTTTTCGTAATCCCGGTTCGTATATGACAGTTGTTACAAATTACATTATAATGATAACACGCAAGCACTTCCCTAATAAATTTCTACACAATTAATTTTTCACATATTAATTATGTAATAAACTTAAAAATATTAGCACTCACAAGGACTTCATATACACTCATTATGATGTAACCAAAGTTCAATTTTAATTTAAGAATTTATTTATTGCTTTAAAAGTTTACAATTAGGTGCTTCTTGTTCTTTTTTTTGGGGGGGGCGATTCTTTTTTGACACCAAGACAGGTGTCATGAAGGCCCAATTTCAAGATGGTCATTACACAAAACCAAAATAAGAAGTCAAAGAATTGCACAAACTAGTTGTCCATGTACACATCGATCAATTTTCACTTGAAAAAAATATCAGAGAATTGTACAAACTTGGCATTGCACACTGCCTTGACTTTGTCCCTGTACACATCAGCTATTTGCACTTTGCACCCAATTCTACACTATACCCTCTTTTACTATCAAAGACTGGTATTACATATTTTGAACTAGTAATTTAAGAACCTTTAAATAATGAATAGCTTAACAGATTTAACAACTGCTAAGAACATTCTGTAAAATATTCACATATCCCGATCTCTCAGATAATTCTTTTTTTTTTTTTTTTTTTTTTTTTTCTCTTTCAGAAGATAAAACTATAGCAACTTAATTAAATTATTATGAAAAGAAAATAACACTTACGTTGTTTCAAGTACTACATACGGCGGTTCTTCATTCATTTTGTAATTTACACGGTTTTCAGAATGACAGAGTGGAAAATTTGAAATCAGAATCCGTTATACCGTTGTTTCCAATAAAAAAGCGTTAACAAACTCATGAAAACATTATAAGCTTCATATAACGCTAATTTCAAAAGACGGTTTTAGAGATTTTTCCAGAATGCCAGGTCCACCAAGAAAATTTTCCAAATAACAGAATCATAAACACTCCCGGGTTAGTTACTTGGTGCACTTACTATAGAGTCTTCAGACGGACAAAGTAGACAGATGTCTTTTGTTGCACCCGCTAAGTCTTTTTGCCCCGATGAGCAAAAAATCCAAGGAGGTTAGAATAGAATAGTTCAACCAAGGCCAACTAGATATGTACAGGCTAAGGCTACTATAAAGGGGAGCTGAATCATCATCCATTTTGAAGCTAACTTGTTGGTATTCGCTATTGGATTAGCACTGGTTTCTTGACATATTTGTGGATCGATTTTCAGAAAAATGGGTGGTTGTGCTGCACCAAATTGTTCGAATCAGTCTAAAAATAACTTTAGGATGTTTCGTTTCCCTAGAAATGAAGAAAGACGAAGAAAATGGATAGTTAATTCTCGTCGAGGTCAATGGATCCCGGGCCCAGGAGCGTATCTTTGTGAGGTAAGTTCAGCTTCGTATTTTTCCATAGAATGTTAGAAAAATTACTCTTCGTATTTCTTCAAAATATATATTTTCATTTAACTGTCACGTATTGACGATCAACTGATTTTATAAGTACAAAATCAACTGCGGAATGTGTATGTGTTTGTGCAGTAAAATATCGCCAATACTGTTTGTGATGTTGTTTCTTTTATTATCGTAAAAAGTTTGTACCGTTTGTAAAATTTGTATCATACATTTCATGTAAACTTTGTGCTCAGTTAGAAACGTGACGCGCCTTTTTTTTTTTCCTTTGTTTTTACTGTACGATTGGTGATTTAAAGTAGCATTATGTATTGTCGCCAAATCTGATATTTGGCGCCAATGTTAAAAACTGGATGGTATGATCCAAATAATAAATGATTTTTTTTTTCTTTATAGTAAGATAAATATATTCTGTATTTTTAGACATTTTTAAGAAGTTAAATATTAATTTTAAATATTCGATGAATCGTTTTGATCCCATTATTATCCTTTATTGTAGTAGTAAATCTTGATGTATTTTTAACTATAGGTCCTTTAAATTTATTTTTAGTGTGTGAGCAGGAATATTTTAAGTAGTTTTACAAACATGATTACTTTTAAAAATTTTGTTCTATTTTCATAAAAAAATTATTTACAGAAAATCATTCTTAATTAATATTAATGTATTAAATACTTTGTTGAAATGAACTGAAGTAATAACCGGCGCGAGGCGCTGCTGTTTGTGACGTCAGCCTGCGTGCTGAGTGTTTTCGAATGTTTTTGAGTGTGGACGAACGAAAGCTGAGCTCGGAAGAGTGATACTGTTTTTTTGATGGAAATAAAGAATGATTTATTAAGAATTTTTTTTGTCTTTATTCATAATGCACCCAGCCTCGGGTAGAGGCAGGCCCGCAACTGAACGAACTGTTTTAAATATATTTGATTTATATATTTTCTGTGTTCTTCGTAACATAGTGGTACCCTCGGCGGGACCGGGTGCTTTGAATTAGAATTTTCCGATTGAACTTTTGTTATTTTGAATTTCGATTTTGAATATACTTTGAAGATGGATTTGATCGCTTTAAAGGCTCAAAGAAAAGGACTTAGAATTGCGTTTTCGCAAACCTCAAGGAAAACCGAAAGTGAATTAACTAAAGAAGTAAGAGATTTGAAAATACTTTCGATTTTGAAGTGTCAACTTTGTGATAAATTCCAGAGACTTGACGTATGCCAGAGTGCTATATCGCAGCAAATTCTGCAGACTGAAGATGGAGAAAAATTATTTAGTGATGATTTTCAAGAAGCGGAGAATTATCGAGATAAGTTTCTAGAACAGTGTGCTCAAATAGATGCGGAAATACAAGCCTCTTCTCCTTCAAATAATTCCGAATCTAGGAAATTTAAATTGCCTAAAATTGAGCTTAAAAAATTCAGTGGTGAAGCTAAAGATTACCTGACTTTTTGGAGTCAGTTCCAGAAAATCCACGATGACAAAAGTATCGCCGATGAAGATAAAATGCAGTATCTTATTGCAGGCCATGGAACCCAAATCGAAAGCAGAACGCCTAGTCCTTAGCTTCCCGGCAACGGCAGCTAATTATCCTAAAGCCATCGAACAACTAAGAGAGCGCTTTGGACGCGAAGATTTACTTGTGCAAATCTATGTGAGAGACTTGTTAAGCCTAGTGATGAAGAACGCTGTAACCGGAAGAGCAAAAACGGATCTACCCTCCCTGTATGATGAACTAGAAGGAAAATTGCGAGCGTTGGAAAGTTTGGGAAGAACCCAAGAAAAATATGGGGATTTTTTGACCCCCTTAGTGGAAAGTTGCTTACCAGAAGAAGTACTGATGGCATGGGAAAGAAGCAGAAATCACGACTCCATTGAAACTAAAGGGAATCGATCTTTGAAATATTTAATGAATTTCTTAAAACAGGAAGTTAAGGGGGAAGAGATGGTTCTCCTCGCAAGAACTGGTTTCGCTTCCCAACAGAACCATCGAAAGAAAGATTATAACCACGAACAGGTAAAGCAAAATGATCCCGTAACAGCATCAGCTCTAGTAAGTCTTGAGAATTCAGGTAAGAGTGTTCCGAACTGTAATTTTTGTGAAAAGAAACATTTTAGTGAAAAATGTTACTCTGCAAAAAAAATGACTTTAGCTGAAAAACAACAATTGTTGTTGAAAAAAGGTGCTTGTTTTTCTTGTCTGAAAAGAGCGAGTCATTAGTAAATTTTGTCCTTTCAAAGGTAAGTTAAGTTGTTCTATTTGCAAAAGTTGTAATCATTTTGATGTAATGTGTAATCAAAAGCTAAAAAATAATGATCAGATAAATGTTTCAAAAGAGAGTTCTCTTTCTAACTGTAGGCAGAAGCGAAACTGTATTTTTGCAAACGCTTTGCGTTCGAATTCGGTGTCAAGGTCGCGAGAAAATTATTCGCTGCATAATTGATAGCGGAAGCCAAAGTAGCTACGTTAGTGAAAATATGATGAGTCAGCTTAAAGCATCTCCACTTCGGGAGGAGACAGTTATAAACAACATGAACGAAACAATGAAGTTTTTGAGGCATTAAAAAAAGATTTGCGGTTTTATTCCTAAGGTTAAAGGATAAAGAGATTTTGAATGAATTAAAAGAAAAAGAAATCGAATTTTCTGATCCATTGCGAAAGGAAATTGAAATTAACCTTTTAATCGGAGCAGATGTTATAGGAAAATTATTGACGGGAAATTCTATTGAATTACAGTCCGGGGTAACGGCTGTCGAAACGAAACTTGGGTGGACGGTATTTGGCAAAACGAAATTCGGGTGAAAAGGATAATATTTTGAAAACATTTTCAATGCATGTCAGGAGAATTCCTCTGAATGAGTTATGGGAACTTGAAAAAATAGGAATATGCGCTCCAAACGAAACTGTTAAAATGAATGAAAGTTTTAATTTATCTGAATTTGAGAACAAAATGAAAATTCTTCCAGATGGAAGATATGAAGTAGAACTTCCGTG